AAACAGGTCGGATCCGACAGTAAAATGTAGAAAGCATCTGTGTGAAGGATGTATGGAAATATGAAAATAAGCATCCTTCAAATCCAGTGAGGCGAACCAATCCTCTCTTTTCGATAACGGAAGAATGTTCTGTAAAATGGTCATCCGGAACTTCCTTGGTTTGATGTACTTGTTAAGAGTTCGTAAGTCCAGGATCGGACGGAGACCAACATCCCTTTTCGGGACTGTAAAATATCTGGAATAGAATCCATGCAATCCTTCTGAGCAGGACAATTTTCGAATCGCTCCCTTGAGAAGTAGCTGTGAGACTTCATCGCGTAGCACCAATGAAGGTTTGAAGCGAATCGGGCTCGAAGGAGGGATAACATCGAATTCTATCCTATATCTGAACGAGATGATAGATAACACCCACCTATCAGATGTAATGGACTCCCAAATGGGGAGTCAGCCCTGGAGCCGGTCCCCAAAAGGGAGAAGGGAAGGTGGTGCTGGAATAGAGAGGATGGTTCGCGCAAGCCGTCAATGTGGGCATTTATCAGTATCGAATTGCCTATGGCCTTGGGCAAAACGCTGTTGTGCTTGCTGCCTCCGACGCTGCCGTTGTTGGTATTGTTGGGTTCGAGGGTAGTTTTGCTGGTGTGGATAATATGGTTGATTCCGGTAGGACAACGGGGGCCACTGCCACTTACGTTTTTGCAGGAGCTCCATGTGGCGTGCGGTTAGGCGTAATTCATGAATCACCTTTAATTTTTGGTCAGTCTTCTGGTGGAACAGACCGGTACCATCAAAAGGCATTTCCTTGATTCTGCGCTTCATCTCATCAGGGAAATTACAATTGCGCAGCCACGCATGTTGGCGTATCGAGATGGCGTTGACGAGGGCCCTTGAATTGGTGTCTACAAGGTGACGAGTGGTAGACAGCTGTTGTATCGGCACCTGCATCGCCTCCTTAATAAAAATCCTGGCAAGGTCCACTTGGTGGTCTGGAAGGGAGGAAGTGACGTTATCCAGTTTCTGCATGATAAAGTACTGGTAACATGCCAGTGTCGCTTTGTAGTTCGATATGCGCACGTTGAGACCAGAGGCCGCATAGACTCGGCGCGCAAGCATATCGATTTTTCTCCCTTCCTTGTCCCGAGGAGCGGTATGTCCCCTGGACTCCCTGCCCTGGGAGGATTCAACCACAAGAGAGTTCGGTTTTGGGTGATGGAGCAGGAAGGGAATGTCATCGTCCCGAACTCTATACATAGCCTCATATCTGCGGGAGGTCGCTTGTGGTTGGGCCAGTTGGTCCCAGGGTTGGACCATAGCCTGGCGCAGTGTAGTTATAAGCGGCAGAGCTATGGATGTGGACTGCTCTCCCCGAATGACGTCGTAGAAGCGATCTGTCGAAGGGCCTGGCTGTTGATGGGCTTCGATTTCAAGTGAACAAACCAAGCGGGACATGAGCTCTGTGAACGAGACATGAGGTTCGTCGGGTGAAGCAGGCCCTTGATATGCGACAGCCACATCAGGGGATGTGGAGTCGACGCCCGAGTCCTCGGAGTCTTCCACGTAGTGCGGCCGGTCATCGTTTGAGGAGGAGGTTTCAGGGGAGGCTGGGCGCCTCGTCTCCGTACGCCTGGAGGTGGATGGCACATCCCTCGGGACCAATGGTGATCTATGCTCACGAGGGAAATAGGGATATGGCTGGTACCCACCGCAACCGGGGGGAGCACCATATCCCGGAATCAACCAACTTTCATCTCGACGCTCGGATGAACGGCTGCGACCTCTGGGAGGTAATGGTGAGGCCACATGAGATTCAGCCGGTGGCATGGGTGTTGGTGAGCATTCCCTCGGCGGGGAGTCTCTGATTTTGCCATCAGAGATGGACTCCCGAAGTGGCTCCTCCTGTTGCTGGGAAGGCACACTCTCAGGTCGAGCAGGCCTGGGGGATCCCGGTGGTGTCACCTGCATAACGAGTTGCAGGGCCGGTCCCGAGGGGGTCGGTACCGTGGCGGCCGTCGGTACCGAAAAGCCCGATGAACCTGAGCCTCGTTGTTTTGGGCGGTCAGGTTTCTTACTCTTGCGAGCGGGCTTATCCACCTTTTCCTTCCTCAGCTTCTTATGGGTGGAAGTTTTATCCAGACTGGTATGCTTGCGCTTCTCCCATTTCTTATTCGGGGGAGAAGGCAGCGACTGAGCCCCCATAGAAGTAGCGCCCTTGTCCGAAGGACGCTGAGGAGGGTCGGCAGAGGTCGAGGAAGGACGCTTCGCCAGAGCGCTCACAGTGGAGGAGGAGCGCTGAGGAGGCGCGGACGAAGAGGAAGCAGGCCGTAGGAGCAGTTGGTCGGACTGTATTAATGCCTGATCCTATAGGAGCTTTCTGAGATGATTCTCCCTATTTTTCCGCGCCTGCTTGGTAAACGCCAAGCAATGACCGCACTTGTCGGTCCTATGCCCCTCGCCGAGGCAGAGGAGGCATAGATCATGTGGATCAGCCAGCGACATTTTAGATCCACATTCAATACATTTGCGGAATGCCGCCCGCTGCGCCATCGCGGAAAAATGAAGGGGACAGTATAGATGGTAAGATAATATTTTTGTTTTTTTATATAGAGAGAGAGAATTCAAGAAGAAAACGGACAAAATCGGGGAGAAGAACAAACTTGGAGCAAGAGAAGTTTAAACTTTTTGAGAAAAAACAACGAAGAGGCACAGATCTATAGCGAGAGACGAACAGGCACGAGGCACAGCGAACGGCGGTTGCAAAGACTGAGCAAAATGGTGGACACTCCGCTCTATTTATACCACAAAGAGGGAGGGGAGCGGAGTTTTCCTGCCAAAAAACCGTTAGCTTTCTAATCTTCCGACCTAGGCACTGCGCAGGCGCAGCAACCCATATGTGTGATCCACAGAGGCCATGACGAAGAACCTAGTGCTACTTTTTGGAATAACTTGCCACTGTTGATGATACATCATTAAACCATTGTGATCTGGAAACCAAACAACAGTCCTTGCCAGAGCAGCACTCAGATTTTCTATGGCCAAAAAATTAAAGACCCAAAAATCAGCAGGAAAGGCCATGGCCATGTTTTGGTGGTGGTGTTTTTTTTTTTTTTTTTTAATAAAGAAGGTATTTTGATGACCATTGTCAAAAAAGCCAAACAGTTAATACTGAATACTACTCTAACTTGATGTGCCAATTAAAGGAAACATTGAAAGAAAAACAGGAAATCTGCAGAAAAGTGTTCTCATTTTGCCCAACAATGCACCTGCTCACAAGGCTAGCAAGACAGTGGATGTTTTGAAAAATTTGGGGTTTGAGTGCATAGACCATCCACTGTACTCACCAGATTTTGTTTCGTTTGACTGTTTCCTGTTTCCAAACCTTCAAGTTTGAAAGGTTTTTTTTTTTTTATGATTCAGAAGTTATAGCAGCTGCAGAGCAGTATTTCAGTGACCAGACATCAGAATTTTTCTGAAGTGTTAAATAAACTTGAGAAACAATGTACCAATTGATGAACTTTGGGGTGAATATGCGAAATAGCGTATAAGTTTCATTGCTCTGGGTCATTCCCTTCCTGGTTGGGCCTGGACCTTTTCAGCATCCCCTTGGAGTATTTGTCCCTTCTGGCTAATCACATTCACTTCACCCATCTTCTTGCACTGTGCAAAGCATTTGGAGAAAACTGTCAGGAAGGCAGACAACACTCAGGGATCAAAGGAGATGGAACTTTGCTGCTTAATAGCTGACAGAGTTGGCAGAGGTAGAAGTACACTGCACATTTCCAAACCTGGTGATTTTTATGGCAAACTCAGGAGAGAAGCCATACAATGGGAATTTTGTATTACATTGGGTACAAATACATCCTATCACGTAGGGCAGAAGTGCACTTCCATGCAAAACAGTAAAAGTTGAATAATCTTGTAGACTGGTTGATTTTATAGCACTCTATTAAACAGAGACCATCATTTCACCCCAAGACATGTAAGCCTCAGATCTGAAGCTGGAAGGTAAAGAATGGTAACTGAACTGTCGGTGCTATACTGAGCTTCCAAAGGGACAGATTTCATAGGGTTTCTTGACTCAATAACTGTTACAGTCTGGCTAGAGAGGTCAGATGGATCATTAAGAGCAAAAGTTAATTCTGTTCTGTGTGAGAACTCCGAGTCATCAAACCACTTCTGACAATCACCAAGACTTGAACAAGTCATGGTAGCTTGTTTACACTGGTGTATTTTGGGCACTATTTGCTTACCTGCCTACTCACAGGTTGTTGCATCATCTGAACGTGAGTAGCATGGCTCATTGGAGGGGGAACCAACCTTCAAATAATCCAACAACAACATATGGATTGTGGTTTTTCTCCGAAGAAGCCTATGTTCCCAGGTTCTGATAACAAGCCACAGCCAGTCAGTGCTTGTTTAAACTACAGTGATCATATGAACCAGGTCTGTAAACTCAAAAGTTGGTCACTGTGTTCTACTTCTTATGTGTCTGATACTACTTATTCTACTTCGGCTCATTCTTTTGCTACATCAACATTTATGCCCCAGTGAAATAGTTGCACAACATTCATGTATGGATGGGTTAGGGCAGCAGTGTTCCATGTATAGATACATTGCCTGAAAGGGATACAAAATCACATCTATATCTTAAATGGCTATTGTACTCAAGGATCTTGGCTAAATGGCTTATTCATACAATAACATGGCACCAGCTGCATTTGTTGAATAGCACCATATCCTTTCATCATGACTCCTGCACTAGCCAAATGGCCAAATTCAATCAATTTGATGGACATAAGACTCAGTGGTCGTGTGTGGTCATGTCTCAGGAGGTTAAAAGCAATAGCAGGCATTCATTTGGAATCAGGGCAACACAATTATAAGTCTTGAAAAGCTGGAGGAAATAGAGATTTCTCTTTCATGAATTACTTAAAACAGTAGCCTTGCAACATACAAGAATCAACTCCTGCTACTTATATTTTCTGATTAATGAATGAAAACATCCCTTTCCAAAGAGAAAACCATTTTTATATGCATTTGCATGTTTTTAATATCTCCATGCAAGATAGCTTTCAGTCAAGTTGAAAAAAAATGTAACCAATATTTTATTACATCTTGTTTGCTGAACCACAGAGACAGTAATCTGATGAGTTACAACAACTTTCATTCAAAGAAGAAAAGTACCAGTGTCTCAAAAAGCTGTCATATATAGTTACCTCTCTTTAACCAGAAAATTTATCTACTCAGTACTTGAACAGCACGCATACTATACATCAAGATATTTCACAACACATGGTTTTGTTTCTCATCAGCATTCAAACATTTTGGAACCCACTTGGCTGAGAGAGCTTCTGCATATACACTACGCATGAAGTTTAAATGCAACACATCCCCTGAATATCTCAAGTGTCTCAGCAATTGTTTTAGCCAAAATTTGCCAATCTGCCAAAATCAGATTGAACATGATCAACAATTTCAGGAGTTGACACTGCTGAACGCCTTCCAGATCCCACTGCATCTTCAGGCTCAAAACCTTCACGCTGAAAGTTGGCACAACACTTCTTCACAGTTGAGTATGATGAGCACTTCTCAATCTTTGCATCATACACTCATGAATTTCCTTTGGCATTTTGGAACAGGAACTTCATGATGACCTGGAGTTCAACACTTGAAAATTCCACATATTTCATTGACACACTTTTGCCAATGATCTGAACAACATTCAAAAATTAGCTCTACAATCCTGCACACTGGCATTTTACAATATAAAATAACACTTTCTTCCTACAGTGACAAAATAATCAGATTTTGAGAAGTGGGTTTGGTTGAGAACTTTTCAGCATCCCCTCATGGAAAGCTGTTGTGGAAGAAAGTTTTCACCTCTACTAAAAATAACTGCCCCAGAAAAAATAAATCTGAAAAAGAGATCTGATACTAGGTAACAGTTTTCACTTAGCAAGCTTCCTATTCAGGACAAATTGACTAAGTTAGTTTGAAGGCATTTTCTTAGCACATACCATTTTGCCATTGTGACATGTTTCTGGTAACAATTTATAAAAGCGGTCCTTCAGGCTGCAGCATGGGTGAGCAATTTGTTTCCCTTCAGAGAGATGATACTTATGTACACTAAGTGTTTCCAAATTTATCTTTGCAAGTACATTGGCTAAACATTTAAGGAAACAAAGCTAAATTCAGGATGAGTGAATTTCTGCATAAAGATAGGTTCAAGCAACACAAGTAAATTACAATTGCCCACCCTGGCCTATGGAATGTTAAGCTGCTACAATCCTATGCAAATCGGGGAAAGAGTAAGTTCCACTAAACTCAGTGGGACTTGCTTCTAAGTAAACATGCACAGAATGTTGCCATAAAGTAGCCATTTTTAAAAAAAATCTCCTTAATTCAATGTTCCATTAATTGCTGGTTGTATGCACAGCATAAACTGGTACATGATCATAACCTTTTAAAATAAAGCATTGACACCGAACTACATTAAATAGAGTATGTGGCAGATCCCCTCATGTTTAAAAAAATGTGTTTTCTAAATCTACTAAAAAAACTTGGATATACAAAATAGTTGATAAAAATATTCCTCTGAATTGTACAAGGTAACGGTATAAGAACCAACAATTAAAGAGTTTGTACAAAGTTGTTACTCAGATTTTGCTTCTTTCTCTCCTGCTGCATGGGATATTGGGACCTGAAAAAAGAAGAAGTTTAATGTAATATGCTTTCCAATTCATATATAAAGACTATAATGTTGTAACAAGAAATTTGGCATGCCAAATTTGAAACTTAGGGCTAATGCAATTTTTGTATGCCATTAATCACACTGAGAACCTATGTGGTGTGGTGGCTAGAGCGTTTGACTGGGACCCAAGAAATGTGGGTTCTAGTTTCCACTCAACCATAGAACCAACTGAGTGACTTTAGGCCAGTCACAAACTCTCAGCCCAACCTACCTCACAGAACTGTTGTTGTGAAGGTAAGATAGGAGGAAGAGGAAAAATAGGTAAGCCACCTTGAGTTCTTTGGAATGAAAAAGGTGGGATATAAATAAAATAAAACCTGAGTCAAATTGTATTGGAAGATTGTGGTGAACAAGGTTGCACTTGCCTGTTTATGTGCAGCCTGAATCAATTAACATATTCAATCATGTGGAAAGCATTCAGTTTAGAGTAGAAGAGCCCAATGTGGTGCCCATTGGCACCCAACTGATTTTTTAAATTTTTAATACATACATGGATTTATATGAAATGCATATAACTTTCTAGCAACTATACAAAGCCTTCAACAAAGTAGAATTAATATTCAAGTAATTATTCATTTACAGGTGGCATCTATAATCCTCAATTTAAGTAAGTGGTTATATTCCAATATTGGAATATCAGTCTTTTAAGCTGTCAAAAGGGTGCAGAGAATCAACTTCTCCTTCCATTTTTTTATTTCAACAAAGTAAGTAAATAATTGAGAACATGTATTTCAATGAATATTAAAAACGGTTCCAGTACAAACTGTAACAACCTATTCCCCAAAAGAAGCATCTACAAGACATTGCCAAAACACAAATTTGAGAAATGTTAGCTGTATTTCACCAGTAGCAGTTATCTGTATTAGGTAATTCATTATTACAGAGTCACTGCAACGTTCAATACACATGAAACAAGTTCTTGTTGAACAAGTCACTGCATAAGTTCCATAGATTTGACAGCCACCAAAGCAGCAATCTGCTGTTTAGGCATTTTGTGGTGGCACTCAGACCAGTTTCTCAAACTCCTGACTATCAGCATGGGTCCAGAGGGATTGGGGACCCCAGCTATAGTCTAATAAAAGCAAACAATGAACACTACCCTATACTGACAAGATCCATGATCTTTTACGCTAGATGTTTTAGAGCTGCAGTTTAATTTAGATCATACTGATTCTTATTAAATTGCAGCAATGGTTCACCAGCATACTGTAATTTTCACTAAAAAAACATGTTAATCTACAATATACTCATATCACAGATTGTTTTGATACCCATATCACACTATAGACTATTTTCTGATTAGAAAAGGATACATTATATTCAGACAAGGGAACACTTGTTTTCTATCCAGGACTTGGCAGTTTCCATAAAGCCACAAAAGTAATGTACATTATTTATGAACATAGGTTAGCCAGTGCTGCCCTTCCATCAGTGATATGCACACTGCTCCAGATTATTTATCTTTATATTTCCATTTATATGCTGCCTACTACTGAAGTCTCAAGGTGGGGGTAAGCAATTACCTCCCAAATAGCTACCATATTTGCTCTGCAGGTTTGGGGGATCCTTCAAAGCAGATCTGGGGATATGCAGTAGAATGTGGGGAAGATAGTGTAAAATGAAATTCTGCTGCACTAATGGAAGTCTGCTCAGATAATGTAAGGGGGAAAAAAGACATACACAGACCTGAATCCTTAAATAGGATAAAATCAGGTCATTAAATAGGCAAATTTAATTAGTTATGGAATGCGCTCCCCAGAGAGGTCCGCCTCGCGCCGTCGTTATTTGTTTTTCGGCGCCAGGCGAAGACCTTTTTAACTGTTAGTATTATTTGATCTTATCTGGCCAGGGCGGCTTATTTTATATTGTATTTTTTGGATTTTTAATGTTTATATTTATTGTAATTTATATTATAATGACTTTTATTTATTGTTGTAAGCCGCCCCGAGGCTTCGGCGAATGGGGCGGCATAAAAATGTTTTAATTAATAAATAAATAAAATAAATGTTACATTGTTCAGCTTCATTTACTAATTAATAAAGAACAGTTTGTTTTCACTTCAAGGAGTCAAGTGTTATTTATGTCAAATGTTCAGCATTTTTCCACAATCTATCTTTGAGTTGTTTAAAATTAAGTTCCTTCAAACATATGATTTTAATTATATAGAAATTATATTTAGCATGAAACTGAGATATGATTTTAAATTCCATATATTTGGTGAACTGATCTAGTTGACCTGATCAATCATGCTTGGTAACCATGTGTTTCTGGTACTAAACCAGGAAACAAGACTACTGAAAATGTGCTTTATCTTGAAGACAGCATTGTAGCCTGAAAACCAGTGCCAAATCCTCCTTCCTTCCAGATCAGCCCCCTTTATTAATTGAAATATTTACCCTGGCATATGGGGAAAACACCTTAAATGTTCATACAACATTAACAGGGACCATCAGAGCCTGCTCCACTTGCACTGCACTCTTCCCACAACAGATTATCTGACATCAAATAACCTTTAGAATTGGTTTATGAGAAGGCCGCTAGAGCTGGCTGGGTTGCATCAAATAACACATGTTAAAACACAACTGAGCATCTTAGATAAATCATAATCCATTTTGAGGATTCTAGTAAAAAACATCCATCCACACAAGGCACTGCTTGGGAATTCTTGAATATGTCCATCCTACTGTGTGGCAATAAGCCAGCAAGCGTTTTTGGAAAATCACATGGAAAATGAAAAAAGTTATGAAAATATACAGCAAATTTACCTCATCATGCTTTACTTCTCCATTTTCTTCAGGCAATTTGTCCTTTATCTCCTCTTTGTTAACCTCTTCAGTTTGTTTCCCTTTTGGTTCTTTTTTCCCTTTTGTCTGGGCTTTCTTTTGCTCAGACTTTTCCTACAGTATGTTAAAATAAACAATCAGCATCTAGTCTTCAAATAGTCTCCAGATTCAGCACAATATAAAGAGGTAATATTTAGACAATGTATTAAAAAAAGAAGCCATTAGGAATATTTGACAGTACAATTTTATGCATGTTTATTCTAAAGCACAACCCACAATTCAATGGAACATATTTCTGGTTAAGTACATAGAGAAGTTTTTATTTATTTACTGTACTCTCAATGTTGTGCTGACTTTAAAAATACAGCTGCTAGATTGACAAAGGTATATATAAGCATTGCTCAGTTATTCCATGGTTTGTACTACATGCTCTAATTTATCAAAACAGAAACCTAAAGTGATGTCATACTCAAGCAGACATATCTGTAACAATGTATGTTTCAGTTAAAAACAACTAATCACAAAAGTACCATTTAAAAATAATCATATCTTTCTATATGAACACTCTTAGTGAATTCTGAAAATCTGTACCAAATTATAGCAATTTAATTAAAAACTGCTGGCAAATCAGCTGTCTAAATGCTCTTGAGGGCAAGCAGAGCATGGAAGCAATTCTTAGCTCCATACTCCTTCCCTGCTCAATTGGTGGAGGGTTTGGAAGGTTATAGGTAGTGACAATGTACATTGTGCCCTAACACATGTAAATTCCTAACTTGTTTGATATGTTCCTATAAATTAAATCTAACTATTGATGCACTAAGTACTAAAATACAGAGAAAGTCCCCTCAAAAGATTTGAAGTTTATGAACCAACTGATCTAAATTGCTCAAGTATGTGGGCATTTTCTTCTGGTAATCAATTTTCATAATGTTATTTCACTCACAAGAAGGCACTGCTCATATTTATTGAACTGCTTATATTTAAATGTCTTTAAAATGACCTGAAAATGGCTCCTTATGAATGATAGCCTGACCTGAGTATTTCTCTCTGTGGTAGATGGAAATAAGTATATAATCACTGCCTTATATCACCTTCAATTCCTTCCTCTGGCTGCTTTCCACTTGTTTCATATCCTACACTGTACAACATCTTGCTCCAATTCCCTTCTCACTGCAGAAACACAAAGTATGTAATAGTACAGAACTTATGCTTAGTGCACGTGTGTCTCCCTCTCTATGTCTCATTATTCAGAGGCTCAGAACTTTCCAGAAGCTACTGCTAAGCTATTGGACAAAAGTGCTCATTCTTGTAAGATGAAATGGAATTCTGTATTGCAGAATATTCTTGTTTCAGAACCAACTGCAGAACTCTTAAGAGGATGAAAATAGTGTATATGATCACTTTGCTAAATACAGAGAATGATTCTTTTAGTGTTATAATGGAATACCATCTCTTGAAATCAGTGGCTCAACCTGGAATAGAAAATCTGTTCCATCACAGATCATTGATAGGGAAAAAATGACTATGGATCATTCAGACAAGTAGAAAGAAGGGCATCTTTCAAAATGCTGCCTGACCTAGTTGACAACCAGCCTGATCAGACCATTCAAAGATGAAAATATGAGTCAAGTATCAAATGGACCAGTCTGTACTTTTCAAGATCTCATCAGTTGGAAAGAAAACTTATGGATCAATGGGCTGGCTGTCAGCTGGTTAAATCTGCCCGTTCAAAGGCATTATTCCACTATTGGGCAACATTCTGGGAAAAAATTAAGACAGATGTCCCCCAAACAGGACCCTAAATATCCATGAAAGCTTATTATGCCAATGTACTGAGTTGCAATTATAATCTTTGGCCTTTAAAAAAAACTATCCCCATAGGTCTTTGTTTAGAGATTCGTTTACACAGAAAGGCCTAACTACTATATAATGGTCTCTATAGATGTACTGAAGCCCACTAAGTCAATATTAAAGGAACAGGCTTAGTATTGTGTATTAAAATTTAATCTCTTAACTGTTTGTTTTTGCTTTGCTATTGTTGCTTGCTAACTACCTTGAATATCATTCGACTGTAAATCAAGAATATAAATATTCAAAAGGCTACTGATCCCCTTCATGGATCACTGTCTTGTCGTGGTGAAGGGGCTTGTGTAGCTCAATGAAGGTATGAGCTATGCTGTGCAGGACCATCCAAGACGGACAGGTCATAGCAGAGAGTTCTGACAAAACATGATCCACTGAAGAAGGAAATGGCAACCCACTCCAGTATCCTTGTCATGAAAACCCCATGGACAGTACCAAAAGGCAAAAAGATATGACGCCGGAAGATGAGCCCCTCAGGTCGGAAGGTGTCCAATATGCTACTGGGGAAGAGCGGAGGGCTAGTACTAGTAGCGCCAGAAAGAATGAAGCGACTGGGTCAAAGCCGAAAGGACACTCAGTTGCAGATATATCTGGTGGTGAAAGGAGAGTCCGATGCTGCAAAGATCTATACTCCATGGGAACCTGGAATGTAAGATCCATGAATCAAGGCAAGCTGGACGTGGTCAAACAAGAGATGACAAGACTGAACATTGACATTTTCGGAATCAGTGAACTGAAATGGGAAGGAACGGGTGAATTTAATTCATATGACCACCAGGTATACTACTGCAGGCAAGAATCCCTCAGAAGAAATGGAGTAGCCTTCATAGTCAATAAAAGAGTGGGAAAAGCAGTACTGGGATACAATCTCCAAAATGACAGAATGATCTCAGTTCAAATCCAAGGCAAACCATTCAACATCACAGTAGTCCAAATCTATGCCCCAACCACTGGTGCTGAAGAGGCTGAAGCTGACAGGTTCTATGAAGGCATACAACACCTTCTAGAATTAACACCCAAAAATGATGTCCTTAACATCCTGGGGGATTGGAATGCCAAAGTAGGAAGCCAAAAGATAACAGGAATAACAGGCAAGTTTGGCCTTGGAGTACAAAATGAAGCAGGGTACAGGCTGGTAGAATGTTGTCAAGAGAATACGATGGTCATAGCAAACACTCTTTTCCAACAACCCAAGAGACGACTATACACATGGACATCACCAGACGGTCAACACAGAAATCAGATTGACTATGTGCTCTGCAGCCAAAGATGGAGAAGCTCTATACAGTCAGTAAAAACTAGACCAGGAGCTGACTGTGGCTCAGATCATGAGCTTCTCGTTGCAAAATTTAGGCTTACATTGAAGAAAGTAGGGTAAAGCACTAGGCCACTCAGGTATGACCTAAATCACATTCCTGATGAATATACAGTAGAGGTGACAAATAGATTTAAGGAATTAGATCTGATAGACAGAGTGCCTGAAGAACTATGGACAGAGGTCAAACATTGTACAAGAGGTAGCAACTAAAACCATCCCAAAGAAAAAGAAATGCAGGAAAGCAAAATGAATGTCTGAGGAAACTTACAAATAGCTGAGGAAAGAAGGGAAGTGAAAGGCAAGGGAGAAAGAAAAAGATACACCCAACTGAATGCAGAATTCCAGAGAATAGCTAGAAGAGATAAGAATGCCTTTTTAAATGAACAGTGCAAAGAAATAGAAGAAAACAATAGAATAGGGAGAACCAGCCACTTAATGAGAAGGAAGGACTCACTGGAGAGGAGCCTAATGCTGAGAACAATAGATGGCAAAAGAAGGAGGGGACGGCAGAGGATGAGGTGGCTAGATGGAGTCACTGAAGCAGTCGGTATGAGATTAAGTGGACTCCGGGGGATGGTGGAGGACAGGAAGGCCTGGAGGAATGTTGTCCATGGGGTCGCGATGGGTCGGACACGACTTCGCGATGAACAACAACAACAACACTGATCTCATTAAAGCTGTCCTTGCCCAAAAACCATGTAACACAGTGTTTAGTTTTGCTGTGGGCAATTAATTCATACAAAAAATGGTAACAGTATAATTCAAGCCATCTATCTGTAAATTATAAGCCCTTACAGTACAAATCAATAGCACCTGTTATTTGTTCAATGCCATGTGCTCAGATGATACTATTGGCCTATACATTATTTATATGAAAGTCTATACATGTTTGGTAAGTACATTATTTTTCATGGTTTTACAAAATATATAGGTGGCAAAACACTGATCTTGTAACTCATATAAGCATTCAATATCACAGGTTGCTTGATAGCACCATCACTGCACTATTAACAGCAGTAATTTTTACACCTTGACAAATCTGCATAATAGGAGAATCCTCAGATCTATTACCATATTAGCAGTATCTTCACACAGTGATTCATGCAGAGATTCAGTAACACCATTCCATTTTTAAAATAAAGGGTCCCCCCCCCTTCATCCAGCTATCAAGTCACATCTTGAACTGCTGAACCAACTTGAATTCTTAAAAGGCATATATAACCTCATCTCTGAACCTCACCTTGAAAGCTGGCTTTGTTGGCTTTTTTTCAGCTTTGACAGTAGCAGGTTTCTGGGGAGGAAAAAAACACACACATTTACTGTCTTCTCCCTTTCTGTAAGATACTGTAGGAAACCAATACACATAAATCTCTACTTACAGCTGACAGCTGTGCTGATCGCCTCTTTGGCTAAAGCAAGACAAACCAAAGAAGTGCAGTATTAATGACTTCATCAACGCTACCATCCCTTCTCATTTTCTACTTCACTACCAAAGCATTTACTACTTACCTCTTCTTCGGCAGGGTTCACCGAAGTTTATGATGAGAGTGCAGAGGAGCGAGCGGAGAAGAGCAGGGCATGCGCACTAAAGAAAGCGCCACACGGTTCCGGGAGCTGTGACGCCGCCGCGCAACACGCCCCCTTCACACTGCCTTGCCGAGATTTGGAGGCGGAGTCCGGCTTGTAGCAACGTGCGCAAAAAGGTGCAGACGCTGGGACGTGCGAAAGGCTCTCTAATTCACCCTCTCCCCGAGTGGCCTGCAGGGAACGGACGAGGGACTTGCCGTCCAGTTCCGAAGGCCAGCGAAAGCCGCGGCCATTTATAGCCCTCCTGCCCGTCTAGGAACTATGTAAGCGCGAAAACCTGGGCCGTCGCAGAAAATAACGCCCCTCTGTGCAGAACAAAACGGACCGTTCACCTAGATTGGTGTTTAAGAAGATAAAGGACGTGAGGAAGAAAAGGAACGAGCGCGAGAAGGGAGCGCGCGCGCCCGTCGCCAACCTTTCTCTTCGGCATGGCGGAACAAGCTGCGATGGCGAACGTCTACACTCGGCTTTTCTTGCGATTTGCTTTTCTCTAGCGTCGGGAGGAGCGGCGTTGATTCCTACGTCACACTCCGACCTACAGGGCATCTGACTCCTAATACACACGGACTAGACTGTCCGCTTGCCCCTGTTACACCCAGCTTCCCTCCCGCAGCCATCCCAGCAGCACCGCAGCAGGATCTAGCTGGACTGAAAGGCGGGGACAGAAGCGCGAGCGCGGTCCGGCGCCGCCCCCTATGACTAGTCGCGCTCATTTGTGTTGGGCAGCCCCGCTCGCGGGACCACTTAAACCATTCCTCGGCCCAGTTGAAAGGGCGGGCCTTAAAGAGGCCTGATCCTCCCAAGTTGCGTCACAACAGAAGTGAAGCAGGCAAGGTATGCGCGCATGCGTACGAAAGACCCGCACGGTAGCTTTGGGTGGGTGGGCTGGCTGGTCGTAATAGTCACGGGGCGTAGCCGTGGGGCGGCGATGTGTGCGTACGGCCCCTTGACAACTCTGCGTAAGCCTGGATCCTTTATTTCCCTACCCTAGCTAGTTAGCCTGAAAACACCGGGAGAGAGAGTTTGGTAGCGCTTCTTCGTCTTTCTTCCCTCCCCCGCCTTCAGATATGCACGAGCTGCACGTGGAAACGGAGCATCGGGCGGACGGCGGCGCGTGGTTCCTCGTGTTGAGCTCGGTGTTCTTGTGCAACCTCCTCAAAATCCTCCTGCCCTCCTGTTCTTCCATTGTAAGTGACGTCACCCCCCTGGTTTCCCTAACGACGGCAGGCTGGTTCGTCCTTCCCCGTCTTGAATCACAAGTGGCTGCTGCGGGTGGGACTCCCTTTTCTCGATTCCAGCCGCGCAGTCGAGCTTTTACAAGCAGGCGCCGCCGTGTGCGTGAACCCGGCCCTAAATTCTGCTCACGGCACGCTTACTCCCGAGCAAGCGTTCCTCCATGCGAAGCCAAGCTGCCTCGCAGCGCCGCAGGGCGAAATGTAAAAGGCTTGCAATTTCCAGTATCCCCGATAGGACTTCATTTCAAGGTTAAACGTGCATAGCATTGCACCCTTAGGTGTGTTAACCGTTCTTTTATAGCCATTGCCAAGGTGTTTTAAACAATTAAGGCCAAGGAGAGTTTTTAAAAGTTTCTTTAGTTAAAAAATGAGGCTGTTTAAAATCATCGCGCTCACGTGGAAAATAGGAACTGTTTCTGATGGTGGCTGTATGAATGTTCTGCTCGCTCATTTTTAATGAGAGGTGCGTTTGCTCCGGAGCCAAAGATACCGTTGGGCTTCTGCGACAGAGACCCGAGGTTTACAGGGTGAATCGTGGACTGCGGCTGTAAGAAAAACATTGGGTTATTTGGCCATCAGATTCGGACTTGGGGACAACCTATACTATAAGTCCTATGGTTGTAAAGTTACCATAACAAAGAAAATAAGCAATAGGAGTGCTGCTCAACTCACAGCCTCCTCACACTTTTCAGAGAGCCTACACCTTAAAGTGAGGTGTGAATGTTTCCAATGTATTATACAGATGCATTTGTTAAGGAACTGAACTTAATAATAAACCTGGCTTTCTAACATGAAACCACCCGTGGGTTCAAGTAGTTTTTTGCCCCCACATTTCTCCTACTTGGTAGGGCATATGGACTGAGTAATAGGGAAGGAGGTGTTTGACACACTTTTGAAGCACTTAAAGCTACAGAACAGTGTCCTAGTCTGCCTATGCTTCTGTCAAATCCCACTTGATTAGAGAAAGGTTTGTTTGAAGCTTTTTATTGACCCCCAGCACCAGAATCTGATGGCATAACTTTCAGTTTTGTATTGGTACAGTCTGTAGAAGCACATACATTGTCACTGATCAGTTATGATACATTTGGGGAGAAACTGGCTATAATCCTGCTAGCAAAGATATTTTCTGGAAAAGTCTGCTTTGAGCATTAAAAATCCAAGAGCCATGCTTCTGGTTGCATTTACTTAGATGATGTTATTTAGGAAAGAGACTAAAAGGCTGCTTTGCTAGAAATAACTTTCATCGATAATTTCCAAAATGCATGTGTTTTAGTTAAAGCAAAATGAGAATGAAATAGCTATTCACAGTTGTCCTTCTCTTTGTCAGATATCTAGGTTACTACAAAAGGATGCTGAGCATGAATCACTGATGAGATCTGAAATTCAGAACATGAAGCAAGAACTTTCTACCATTAGTATGATGGATGAATTTGCCAGATATGCCAGACTAGAAAGGAAAATTAACAAAATGACTGACAAGCTTAAAACTCACGGTAGATAGCTGCTCCTTCAGATTTGCATGCTGTTCATTGGTAACCTTTTTTTAAAAAATCTTGTATATTTTTCAAGATTGCCTCTATTGTTGATAGTGGCTTTGGGAAAAAAAATAATGTCTACAACATAAAGTTTCAGGTCTCTGAATCAGATGCTTCAGGGTTCACTTACTAATGTTTCTAAATATGTGCACTTTGTAAACGGTGAAACTTCTTGGTAGGGCTTGGGGAAGGCAAGGAAAGTGGTCAAGGAGGATAGATTTCATTTTGTGTTTCTAATTATAAGCCCTTGGATATGTGTTTCAAATAAGACAGCTTTTCAGCTTCCTCCTTCCAATGGAAAATGCAGTTGAAGTGCTAGTTGTTGAACTGAACACACTGACGGATCCAGGAACAAGTTTAATTTTACTGAGCAACTGGTTAAAGGATTACCTTGTAGGTTCTCCATAATGATAAAGCTAAAGACTTTATTTTAATGAAAGCTGAGCATTCAGAGATGGGATCTTCCCCAATCCCAAATTATAGCCCTAGCTGCCAAATATCAATGGCAGTCAGTGCAGTGTGGAGCTTAGAGTGTTTATTTATATTTTTACTTATATTGCAATTTATATCCTGCCTTTTTCCTACAAAGGGCTCAAGGCAGCTTACATCATTCTCCTCCTCCATCTTATCCCCACAACAACAACAACCCTGTGAGGCAGGTTGGGCTGAGAGTCTGTGACTGGCCCAAAGTCACCCAGCTGGCTCCATGACTGAGTGGGGACTAGAACCCAGATCCTCTGAGTCCCAGTCCCATGCTCTTAACAACTACATCACACTGGCTCGTTGGAGGCATGAGCGATCTGGGTTCTAGTGACTACCTAGCCATGAAGTTCATTCAGTGATTTTGGGCCAGTCACAGACTGTCAGCGTACTCTACAGGTCTCTTGAGAATGGAAGAGGACCATATAGACCTTGGGTGCTTTGCAAGGAGGAAAGGTATAATACAGATTTCATAATAAATACAAAAACTCAGATATAGCCAGTGGTAAGGATTCAACTGTGTCCCAAAGTTAGGCCTAATGATGTTACACTGTTGTAAACTCATTTTTGTACAATATAACAAGTGCTTGTCAAAGCAATGAAGGAAAGTAGTGATTTTCCATTGCCCTAGCAAGCACTAGTTGCAAGCATTTACAACAACACATCATCAGTGCTAGCACTGGGAAATGGATAGATCATTCCCACTATAATTTCTTTCTTTTTTAGAATTGCCATAATCAGAAAAATTGCCTATAAATTTCAGTAACAGGTCTACTGCATACACACTGACAATCTTTAGTTTCTAACAGAACAAAACATTTGGAAGAACCTGACTTCTGTATACACTGTGCATGATTGTTAATTCTATGGGGATGTTTAATAATGATGCTCAGTTTTAGTTATATACTATGTGACATATTTCTTTGTCCTTGATTTGTGTGGATTTTTGTTTATATCTGGAATAATACAATAAATATGAAGGGGAAAAAGAATAGACTTATCTTTTTCTGTCATTGACATTTCCAATGAACAAAATCCTTTAACTGAACAACAAATAGTATTTGTTTAAAAACAAATGTGACTTATGTGTATATAAATAATGCAGATTATGTTACCTCTTTTTTAACAGTGAAAACACGAACAGCTCAACTAGCTAAAATAAAATGGATAATAAATATTGTGTTCTACATTTTGCAAGTAAGTGTAATTTAGTTATACGAGAGTGCATCTTATATTTGTGACAGTGCTATAAAGGGAATAGTGATCTTCAACCATTTACAACAATAAGCTATTTTAAATATTTAGAACAACATTCTTAATATATCAAGCAAGGGGAATCACAGAATAGTAGAGCTGAAAAGGTCAGGAATGCCATCGGGTTGAACCCCCTGCTTTTACAGGACACTAATTTACACTATCCCAGGCACCAGTGTGTATCCAGATACCCTTTCTGGTGGCCATGAAGATGCTATAAACTTCCCACATCTTAACTTTTTTTTGCTGTGAAGTAGATTTCTGTTGGTGCTCCTAAACCAACTCTTCTGTTTCAGTAAGGTTACTTTTGTCTAATGTTCCATGTCAGCCATTTTGTGGTAGTGCCTGTTAGTCTCTCAAATTGCCAAAGGTGCCCATAGCTGAGGAAGGTTGCCTACTCCTGGATTAGAAGGAAAATAGCCTAACCTGCTCTCTGATGTTCTAGTTTTCTATGTCGGGTATTGTTTTGCTTGCAGAAGGATTTAATGATTTGAGCATTTCGCTACATCTAAAATGCACGCTTAGTTCTACAGCAGAGAAATTGGTCTCCTGATTATATCAGTTCTTTCTGATGGAGCCAGGGACCATCATTCTAGCCTTGTAATACTGACTTTGAGATATATAATTATTATTGTAATGGCAGCACAGGGATCTTGAACCTAATGGGCATCAAAACTGTTGGTTGTGCAACTAAATAAATATAAGCACTCTCACTTTTTGTAGTCTTACAACAACTGCTTTTATTCCAGGCTGTTTTAATGATTTCACTGATTTGGAAATACTACTCTGAACCAGTTACAGTGCTCCCAAGCAAATGGCTAGCCCCTTTAGAACGCTTAGTAGCTTTCCCAACAGGAGTTGCAGGTAAGATTTTTCATGAATTTCATGCATCTTTTGTGTCAGTATGAGTTCATTTGCCCTAGTTCCCAAACATTTTAATAGTATTCCCCTCCTCCACCCAGCTCTGCCCACGATTCCCAAGCAGTGATAGAGCGTGATTGTCCATGGCTCACTATGTTGCCTGAAGCTACAGCTTTCTTCCTATGTCAAGGGACAAGTATTAAATAGGAAAAACATTAGTGGTACCAGGTTCCATAGAATTCTCTGTGTGGCATATAAATTGTATTCTCACAGTTGTTTTATTTAGTTACTTGTTCTGTTTTGCTATGAAAATGAAACTCTATATATTTGCCTAAATGTGTATGGTTGCATTATATTAATTTAAAGCATGCTTCTTGCTTAATTTTTAGGTGGTGTTGGCATTACATGTTGGTTGGTAGTTTGCAACAAAGTTGTGGCCATTATGCTTCACCCTTTCAGCTGAGAAAGAATTCCAGTTTCAGCGGTTCTGAACTCTCCTGTCTATTGTCACAATGTTAAAAAAAGAGTTCGATAACTTATAAAAGGCAGTATCTGGGGAAAGGGCCAAGTAATAAAGCATAACTAAATTATCTTTTTGTAAAGTTTTATTAATATTTATGTACATATTGTACTATCTCACGTAATTCAGTTTGTTGACTTCAGTGCTGAACCTATTTAAACATGTTTATGTTCTATTAAAATCAGTAATTTAATGCATGTAATTGTACTGCCTTAATATTATATTCTGAAGTCTTTGGTTTTTTTGTTTGTTTTTTGCTGAGTAACTACTTGGGACAGGTATTAAATGTGAGATTTTGGTACTGTGCTTGGCTGAATATATTACAAATGTTAAAGTGAAAATAAGAAATACAGTTTTTGCATTTAGGACACAAGAGGCTCACATTATAAAACTTTAAGGAATGACTTTTTAAGAAGTGTATAAGGCAGCTTCTTTGCCTGACTTAGTTGTATTCATGTTTTCCCCCCCTCTTGCAGTTTCAGTATGTGATGGTTGTTTATGGTTCACCTGTACCATAAAACACAGACAATAGGTTGGTTTGGATATTCCTTTTGGCTTAGTAAACTATAATTAACCTGACAACCATCAGGTTCATGTGCTTCCTCTGTGCTGACTTCTGTACTTTAATCATGCTCTCTTTAAACGTCAGTTCCTTGCTAAATTTGGTCAAGAGGGATCAAAACTGGTTTACATTCCTGGTAAACTGATAATAGATTTAACGGACCAGAGTGAAGAATAAAAAGTGACAGTCTAGTTGAAAGAGGCCTTGCTCATCTCTATCCTTTCTGTCTTAAAAACTTTCCAGTAGGGTAGTTGGTCATTTGTGAAGGGTAGCAACAGTCCAGCTTGAGGAAATCTTCACATAACTCATGATTTTAAAAAGTCAGGAGCAAAACCAAAGATAACCAAGTTGTGGGTAGCACAGTATTCAATGTTTGAATTACCAAGACTGTTTGATTAGAAAAGCATTTAATATATGGTGTTCCCCAGAAAGTTTGGGGTGCAAGAATGAGAGAAAACAAGGTGCACACCCCAATTATAAGTACAGGAATTACTGCAACCAACACAACTCTTTGCATTGAATGGTTCAGATAAGGCAAATGAAGTTGCCAGCATCATCTAAAGGCTGCCAAGTTTGGCTGTGTATTAATAAGAAAGAAACTCTGAAAGGAAGGGCCAGTTTTCCGGCAGTAGCCCTTTGATCTGGATCCAGATTCCAGCTATAAACTGTGGCTATGGCTTCAACAGTAAGTTTTGGCAGTCTTTAAATATGTCCGTATCGTAGACTGCAGAAATCCTACTAGAACGTTTTCAGTCTTCAATATACTATATTTGGAACCCACTTCATCCAATCCTTATGGATCACTTTATTGACTATAGCTATGCGGATATGTTTGACTGTTTCATTCATGTGAGAGGCTTTGAGCAATGGAATCAGCAAGAGAAGTTATATAGAACCTAACATTACAACTCTAAATAGTCATTTCCTTTTTTTTTTTTTTACAGTAAACTATTCAGTACTCTTTTCAACAGATTTCCTAACTCTTATAGATTCTCCAAAAGTAGAACAGGCTTTGATCATCAATACAGTATTATGAAGCATCTGTCATTGTTAAAGATATATACCATATCATTCATATATGTTGTCAAAAATTTAAACATTTGATATAGCTGCAGTCATTTGAATAATTCTAGAATCATTAAATACAAGGAGAAAAATACTGTCTTCAATAGGTAATACATTACTTTTCAAGAGTTTAAAATGCTGAGTATGTTTTAAGGTGGAAACATAAAAATCTAAATTATTTAAAATTTTCCAAGAAGGCAACTGTGTGGAAAACCTTTATGTGGGCTTCTTTGGAATCACCATGTTGCAAACCATTGTTTGCATATGAAATATCATATATCCTTTAGCTCTGTGAGGTTTTTTTTCCCTTTACCCAGCTCATTTACATTTGAGGTTGGATGACTGTCTTTTAAGATACAGTTTTGACCAAAGAGTTCTTCCATAAGAGTGATCTTCTTATCAACTGATAATGTAGGAATGTGATCTTCAGCATGTATTGAACTGATGTCCTTTTGTCTTGCTTTGGTAGCCTTACCAAATGATGGCTCATAGACATTGGTCAAATCTCCTGCCTTAAACTCCATTATTTCAGTATGGTTTCTGTTCACCTGTCCACTATTGAATGTAGTGCTCATGTTGGATAGTGGACCTGTCGAAGGTAATCCCTGATGCAAATTGTTGACAGCTTCTGTAAATACATAGTGTTTCTTTAATTTAGATGGGGTTCTGTGTCTTTGTGTTACTGTTGCCAGTTTATCATAAAATGCTTCTTTCGATTTTCCAACTTGTTTGCTTTCCTTATTTTCTTGTTTCTGGTTCAAAGTTTCTTCCAGGTTGCTCTCTTTCTGTTGGACATCATTAGACTGAAATGATTTTTCAGTCCTTAATTTTTCAAACTCTTCTTTCAATAGGTCTAACCCTTGCCTTTTTCTCCGGTTCTTTTGTCTTTCTGTGTTTTCATATTTGAAATACTGTTCAGCACTTGAACAAATCTCTTCCCCTAGGAATTCTGCAAAGGAATGTGTCAACAATAAATTTCTTTCTAAGAGATCAAGCCATTTAAATGATATAACAATTTGTATGCTTAGAGAAATTAAAATACACAGAGGGTACATCTATATATTTAGTAGTTATGAACACCCTTAGAGTAGTACCCTTGAATGAACTGTAGTGGGCATGGAATATGCCATTTGTCTACTAAGAAAAAGCAACAGCACTTGTAGAAACTATGGTAGTCTTAGCTAACTGGGTGCTCAACAAATGTGTTACATTGCAGCTCCCATAAATCTCAGTCAGAACAGCTAATAGATGGTGTCAGGTTGGGGAAGACTGATTTAAAGAATTTCCAATTGCTCCTAATCTTTGCTTTGCTGTATGAGATAAAGTACATGCTACCAATAGCAGCTGGCTGGTTCAATTCCAGAATTTTTTTCAGTGAGTGATAACCAGTACATCATCTCTCAAGTTTAGGCAAAGATTAATAGAATAAAGGTTTATGTTTTCATATGCAACCAATTTTACAGCAAATTTCCTCATGAGCTCAGAGGTTTATTATAATAAACATTTATAGACTCCATGCTCACAAAGTATTTTAATATCTGTTACAAATGTACCATTGAGCTATTATGGAATTGGGTATCGGGCTGATATGACTTGAAATTTCAAATGTTATATACTTTAGAGCTTGTTTATTCTATTTTTTTTGAAAGCCATATAAGATCTGAAATACTCCTGAAATACCTGAGCATGTTTCCTTTGGAAATTCTTGCACTGGTAATTTTTCAGCTGAATGAACATCTGTTTTTAGTAGTGTCTCTTTATGCATATCACACAGTGTGTCTTTTGCATTTCTATCTTTGGATGTCAATTCCTAAAAAAAGAAAAAATGCCCATATCAGAATGTTCACCTTTTAGTTTTTGAACATCTGTGAATAATTACAGAAGATTGTGACAGATTATCTGTTAATAGCCTCACTCTCATATGGAACTCAGTCTTAAGGAGTTCTCAAACCTTGACCCTACTCAGCCTCCATAAAGTAAGAATTTATTTGAACTTTCCCAAGATGGCAGGTCATCTGCCTTCAATCACATCCTTGATTTGGAAACAGTCTACAAATTAACAGGAAAGTGATGCTGTGGTAAAATTTTGACTGCAGAAACTCGTGATGACAGTCATACTAGAAAGGAGAGTTCAATCATGCAAGCAACTGTTTTCATCATATCAACAAACCAGTTGTGTCATTTTTCATCTCTGCCAGGAACAGGTCTTTTGTAAGCCTAATGGGCCTGCATCTTCCAGATGAAGCCAGTCCAAAATACCTTATTGCAAAAAGGGGCAGCTCACAATAATATTGTTCCTGGGATTGTAACTTTCTCCCCTCCCCTCCGCTCAGCTACTGCATGAATTTAGCAGGGTGGCAGATATCCCTTATCAGAAAGTCCTGGTGCATTGACCTGCAAGCCCTGAGCCACTAGAGCAGGGGTCCTCAAACTTTTTCACCAGGAGGCCAGTTGAAAGGTGCTGGTGCCGGGCATGGGCCGGAAAGGTGTGCGGGTGTCCGCATTGAGGCAGGGGTGGGTACATGTGGCAAGGAGAGGAGGGGTGGGCATGCGCTGCAATGCAGCAGTGGGCGCGCGAGGCAGCTGCTTGCTTGCTTGGAGGTCATTTTCTCCAAGCGAGTCCAAAATTATCTCTGTGCGAGCAAGCTGCTGCCTCCCTGCGTGCAGGGTGAGACAGGTGGTGGCAGGCACGGGTGCGGCGAGACCAAAACCTCTGGCGGGCCGGATAAATGGGCATGGCGGGCTGGATCCAGCACACGGGCCGTAGTTTGAGGACCCATGTACTAGAGCCTCATAAGTCTGACCACATTCTAAAGTTCAGAGAATAGTGGCTTCTGCAGGGAAAAAGTCCAGTTGATTACAGACCACAAATCACAAAAACAAACTGAGGAGCATGAAGATTTTGCTTAATGGCCCAATCAAGGTGCAAAGAAAGGCATAAACGAGTAGGCGGAAGCTTGACCTTTCAAATGCTACTATGGAAATGGCACAACTCAGGCACATCCTATAAAAGGCCTGTTATTTCGGACAATGCAGCAGAATCTGGTCAAAAGGACTACGCGTACAAGCCTACGTGATGGCAACGTGATGGCAAGCCTACACGTTGTGTCCTTATCAGGTATAAGGATGGTAAGAAAAACTGCAAGGATGTCAGACCCTTACCCCCTTTTTATTCCTTACCATGTTGCTGCAAATTGATTACTATTTTGATACCCCTTCTAGAGCAAAGGCTTTCCCCAATCTGGTGCCATCCAGATATGCTAAACTACGAAGTCTGGGGAGCTGAGGGGGAATGATGGGACCTGTAGTTGAGAGGGAGGGCTACACTGGGGAAGACTAGTAGTCAGGCTTCAATGTACAGAGAAATAGTTATTCGGGTTACATCAAAGCTGATCCATCCATAGCAGCATTATGATACGATGTTAGGTTGCCTTTGTCGAACACCTTGTTCAAGGTCATATCTAGCTCTTATTCACAACTGTTTGCTTATTACATGTTTGGAACGTAATTAAGATCTGGGTTTAATCAAAGCTAACAGCACAATCCTAAGTATGTTCATTCAGAAAAGTAAATGGGTTTAGAATTGGATCTTCCATTTCTTCCTTAACTCTGAAGTAAAATTTCAATAGGGGCAAAGAAGAATATTATTCTTACAGGGTAGCTATAAAGTGGAAAAGTATTAGAAGCATGTGGGGGGCTATATGAAGAAACAAAACAGAAGAAACAAAGCTTATGAACAAATGTTTGAGAGCTTGTAAAGACTATTCATATCTACCATACCTCTTTTAAACCAACTGCAGTTTTCATTGTCTCATGCTTTTGAAGAGTCATTTCTTCTAGCTTTAGATTAACTTGTACTGATTTGCTGACATTTCTATCTGTGAAGAAACAGGAAGTCATACAGAGGAATTTGTTTTAAAACAAAGAAATTCCACGTCTGGCATCAGTGATCGGCTAGTTCAGGGACAAACTGAAACTCAGCTTGACAAGGCAAAAGTACTGTGGGTAGGTACTTTGTCTGATCAGGGATACTGGGATGGATGCCGGAGCATAATGTTCATCCTTCCTAATGAGTGGCACAGAATGCCTCACAAGGACTATCACCAGTGGGCAGGCAAATGAATACCAGTATGTGCTCTTGATATCTACAGGGGAAACTTTGATACTATATCCCTGTCCTCCTCACCTTGGCACTGCATCAAATGTCAGCTTGTCCAAGCCACTCAGTTTGAGAGTAAGCTATATAGTTTTTCTTTGGTCTCTGCTAGAGGGACCTGTATTGTTTAAATGTATGTAGTATAGCCTAGGTATTTCCTTCACACAAATGTAGATTATGAATCCTGGTATTCTTTCAACACAATGATCTATTTAATTCTAACACCCCCTTCAACCAAACTTGTCTTAACACTGTGTTCTATGAAAAACACTGTGGTCTATGAAAAAGTGGTAACACAGTTTGGGATGTAGAAACAAAGCATGTCAGAAGGGGCCTCCCAGGCTATGTATTTAATACCAAAGTGCTGCTGAGACTTAAGTTGCTGAGATCTCAGTTGAATAAATTGCTGATTTAGTGAAGCTTAAATAGAAATGGTTGAATGCTAAACCAGCCTACCTCAACCTGATGGACGTAAGTAGAAGTGCATTTTCAGCTGTAATCATATACACATTTCAGCTGCAATCTTTTAGCTGCTAGACAGAGACTGGATTCATAACAAGCCAGAGTGGCTTTTTACCACTGTCTATTGCATAGTCTGAACCTAGGCATGGTATCTTGCTGTAAGATAGATTTGGTCCTTAGAAACCACAATAAGAAACAATGGTTTGATCTATAATTTCTCCATAGCACAATGACTTCTTGTAACATTGAACCTGGCATTATGGTTTCCATGGTCCTGGACTACAACTACTGCAGGTTCTGGTGGAAAGAGTCACAGCTGCAGGAGCCCCTATCCTGCTCTGCCTAGCAACAGACACACCATTGTTTGCCTTACTCCTACAGGCTATTCTCTGATCTTGTTCCCCTAAGACTTCTCTGCTTTCCTTGAGATGTCCACCTGGTGGTGGTGTTTTCCAGCGATAGAGAAGCATGTTGTATCACCTGAAACAGCAACCTGGGAGTCAGTTGTACTAAGCACTACCGTCCTCACGGACTCCACTTCTGAGTTGCCCTACCTTTTGTTTTTAGGCCAAAGTTTGTCTAGGGATGTGTGAAGAATCCATCTGGAGGTGGATTCCCTTGGACTTGGCTCCCTGGGTTCCGGTCTGCTTTGCAGTGGCCCTGAATCCAAGTTCCTGGTAACCGTGCCCAACATTCACAGGGCACTCTTCAGGAATCAAGTCCCACACGTCGCTCAAGAAGTATCCTTCCATACCATCACCAGTAGGCCAAACAGCTGGTATTTATTTATTTATTAAAAAAATTCTATGCCATCCTCTTACCAAATAGTTTCAGGATGGTTTTATAACAAAACAAAGCACAGCATCATTTCTATACAGTAAAACCCCAATTAAAATAGCAATTTAAACCTTAAAATACTGGGAAAATAAAAAAGGTTTACACATGGCATAGAAAAGGGATGCTGCTAGTGGTTGCACAGAGCTCCATTCTTGGTGAGCCCCATGTGACCACTAGTAGGATCCCTCTTCCGTGCCACATGTAGTCATCATTTGGGCTGTTGTACTTGATGCAGAAGAAGGCTGGTCGACCAGGGCTCACCAAGAATGGAACTGTACAGAGTGTCCTCCTGCACCACATGTAGCAGCTGTTTGGTTTGCTGCACCTGGTGTGGAAGGAGGTTGGTTGCATGAAACTCACCAGGAATCGAGCTCTGCATGATCACTGTGCAAGCAGTGCCCCTCTTCCTTACCACCTGCAGCAGCCCTTGTTCCTGATACAGAAGGAAGGTTGTCAGTTGCACAGACTTAGTTCCATGAGCATTTGCAAGACATCCCTTCAGCTTGGCTTGCTTTGCAAGACCAGGCCAAGTACAAGAGGATGTCTGCAAATACAAGAGGGATAGATTCCTCTAGAGTTTGTCCCAGCCCTAAGTTTGTTTGTCTCCCCTATTTTAAATGCTTTTTCAAATGGTGCACATGAGCAACACATGGGGCATTAAGAAGCAGGCATATCCCCAAAAGAATGCATCCTCCTCTCTGCCTCCCTTACTCTCCTACACTTGTATGCTGTCTAAATATCTCAAGAGTACCAACACGTTGCACTGTCTCTGGAACACACCTGTAGTACAAACACTTCCTCAAAAGTCAGTCTATCAGCGTCCCCAAGAGCTACGCACTGATGCTGCCTCTGGAAAGTTATTCCAAGCAGGACATACTCTGCTCCATACAGGTGTCTATGCTCTCAGGCAGAATAGACACTAGGGAAGGTACTGACTCTGACTCCTCAATACCTGGCCTCTTCTTCCAAAGTACTGCAGCCTCCTGTTCCCTGCTACCCTGAAGGAACCTCCAGAAGGATAGATCTGTATTCTATCTGGGCAAGCGCATCTGACATCCTTCCTCTGTACACTATGCCCTCCACCATCATCTGAACACTAGATGCCCCCACCAGCAAGAGAAGCTTCAGCTGCAGTATTTCAGCAACTTGGGATTGAATTGCAGATAGCTACTGTATGTATGTACCACCTGTGGGAAGTTCAAGCAGCAAGGATGGAAACCATGTCAATGTAGAAACCATTTGATTGTCAGGTAGATTGTGGCAAAAATGATGAACTGTGGTAACCATGCAGAGTTGCTCGGTGGGGTATGTGGGAAGAATTCCCACAGGGGTATGCAAACCAACCGAGAGTCTAGATGGCCAGAAAACAATTCCAAGTTCCAGCTCTGACCTAGGAAACATGCTTCAAGATTGAAGCTGGGACACTGAATTTAGAGAACCCTCCTTCTGCCTTCATATCTATCATGGAAAGAACCACACTGGCTGCAACCTTGAGATGGCATTTTCTGGTCATTCCTGGGAGCAGGGAGGAGTCAGGCTCCAGCAGCACACATGGTATCCTGGTGGTGCCTCAGCCTCCCATCCTCAAGCTGCAGGGCAAAAGACTTAGATGGACAAAATCAGCCATCCAACTCTTTTTGCAGAGTGGGAGAAACATGGAAACAAACTTTGTTTCTGTGCTCCTCCTGTCCTTCATAGGGTGCCCATAATTCTCAGAGTTCATAGGTTTCCATGCAGTCACGCTGGACTGCACTTTTAGTTGGGAATAAGCCTCAGAGAATTTAGTGGGACTTACTTTGGAATAAACATGCACAGGGTTAGCCTGAACATCTAACTCTTCTCCACCTTATTCTCCCCCTGAACCCAACATAATACTGCACAAGCCTTTTCAAGCCTAATCACCTAGCAGTGTGCTTCACTAGAGGTAAGGATGGCTTTCTAAAAATACTGCCAAATGTTAAATGTCTTTGTCCCTTGAAACTCTTGATGTATTTACATTACATGTATTTATATTACATTACAAATATTGTGCTACCTTTTGGGGAAGACTCTGAAATACCTTTGTCCTGTTGACCTTTAAGCATCCGGTTTGCATAAATATTTCTTACACCAAGTTCTCGTTCTTTTTCCTATAAAATATTGTATTAAAAAATTTTTTTAAATTGCAATAGAATTTACAATCATAGGGAATAACTCCAATTGAACTGAGATGTCCTAAAAAACAGACATGTTTAAGATTGCAATGTAATTCTCTTTCGCAGTAAAATAACCACAAACTTTACATACCTTAATTTTTTGGTTAAGCAACTTGATTTCCATTTGTAAACTTGTAGTGATCAACTGAGCTTCAATAGTCTTTTTCTTCTCAAGTGCTAACTGATGACTAAAGGAAGTATTATTCAACAGCAGCTGCTTCTCTAGGGCCTAAACATATTACAAATATGACTATTTATGTTAACTCTGCCTTACTTGAGAATGTACAAATATAAAAAATGCAAATATACAAATACAAAGTAAATAAAATATTCATTTAAAAACTCAATAGACATTGGAATTTTTATACATATATTTAGAAAGATTTTAATCCGCATTCTGAATTACTATAGCCCCTTATCCTACTGTATAAATACAAATTTGAATGCTATAAAATGGGAGAATAATGACATAGGAAATGAAAGTTTCCATAATCAGAAATACAGATTTTTAAAAACTCATGGAGAAAGGCTTCAGTTAATTACAGTTTTAATATGTGTTCATTAGAGGAAGAGACACTTGCTCCCCCTCCCTTAACCTGAGCTTGTTTAGGATATATGAGAAGCATAATAAAAATTATTTTCCATTCATAACATGGAATATGTCAAGGAAGATATCCCTAAATTCAGACACCACCTTTCCACTACACTTTAAAAAAAATAAACTAAAGGAGAACATTCTCTTTCCTTAACATAAAATAAAACCTCCTTCAGTCCAAGAGACCAATTAAATTTTGAAGAAACTCTTGGGTGCCATAGGGCTCTTGAGTCAAAAGGAGCTTTGGTCAGAATGTTAAAATAGCAGCATATATATTTTAGTTTAAAGCTCTTACTGTCAGCAACTAGAAGAAGCCTTTTAACACTTCAGAATGGGGAAAAGAGGCAATGGTGAGAATGCAGAAAAACAAGTGGGTGGGGGGGGGTGAAGCAGGAACCACCTGGTGGTATGGGAAAGGGGGTATGACTATCTCTGGGGCTCCAGAGGGGGCCAGATTGGGGTTCCAGGCGGACTGGATTCTGCCCCCAGGCTTGAGTTGCAATACTCCTGCCTGAGTAGCTAGAACTGTTTGCAACCGGAGAAGTTTGCAGCACTTGTTTATCCCACATCTTGCAGCACAATTCTGAAGACAGGAAGGAACGGGATCCATTCACAGCAGCCAGTAACAGGAACCAGCACCTTTGAGGTGATAATACCTCACTCATGCTGGTGACCATTTCCCCACCCTGAGTAAGCAACAGGACAACAAGCTGCCAACATAGTGAGTGAAATTAATATTGGGTCATTTATCACAACATAAGGAATAATACACATCACTGTATCTTTTCCACGGCTTCTATGAATGTTATGCAAACTATGCACATCATATAAAAATCAGAGACATTGGCTAACTTAGGACATTTTAGAAGGGTACAGCATGGAACAATTGCTTAATAAACCTGAAACCACTCCAGCTACCACTTGCCCTTTCAATAGTCCAGTCCTAAAAAAGTTAATACTATAGTGGTTGTTGGCCTAACAGGAAGTGATTTCTGATTTTTTTAAACAGTCATATATTAATTGAATGTTTTATCTCAAGACTGATCATCACAAAGTTTCTGGTTCCAAAATTAGCTGTTGTGGGAAAAACTTGATGTTTACATCACACTCATTGTGATACCCTCAAGAATGTGTTCAAAGTGAAATTATGTTCAAATTTTATCTCCACTTGTCCTCGTGTAGTAGCTTTAGGTACACACTAAGCCTAAAGAAATTTTATTTATCTATGTGTCTGTCTGTATATTTATTTATATGCCACCCTACAGACAAAGCTCTCTGGACGGTTTACACAGACCCGAAAACAGATGATAAAAGTACAATTGGTATCAGAAAATCAGAAAAAATAAAAAGTTTTAACAGCTAAAAACAGATAATAAAACAGACATTAACAAAGAATAACAAACAACAAGAAAGAACGTGACACTACACAATGCCTGGTGATCTCCCTAAAGCCTCTAGATGGCTGAGGAAGTCTTTAAAAGCCTCAGAAAAACGTCTTAACCTGGCACCAAAGAGGTGGCAGATTTGATGCCAGCCAGGCTGCAGTGAGGAGGTTATTCCATAGAAGTGGGGGCACCTCTGAGAAAGCCCTCCCTTTTGTTGACACTCTAAACTTCCCTCAGAGCTGGCACTCAGAGGAAGACCCCAGAGTGTCCAGGTAGATCATGACTGGGAGAGGTGCTCTGAAAGGTACTGTGATCTTAAGCCATGTAAGACTTTATAGCTGAAGCAAGAACCCAAGCAACAGGTGAATTTATGAGGAATCCAGCAGGATCCTAGCGTACATTTCTTGCTATAATTCTAGACAATGATTTAATATGCTGAATATTACCTGAATTTTTTTATCACTAGCTTCCATTCTTTGTGTGAGGGTTGTTAATCTTCTTTTAAGTTCACCTCTCTCTGCAAGATTCTTGTCTTCAGAAAGTTTTTGCAGAATCTTTAAAGTATCTTTTGTCCTTAACAGTTGTGCTTCGACTTCTCTAAGCTTCCTGGATGCATTGCGTTCCTGTTCCTGAGATTTCCTGAGAAGTATCCTTACAGTTCTCACTTCACCAACATGTTTTGCCATGAGATCAGGCAGATTTGTTTCTGCATGTTCATATTTACTTATTGCTTTCAAATGTCGATACTGAAGTCGCTTCAAGATCTGATTTTCCATATTAGATGCCTCCAATTTATTCTTCAAAACAGACACTTCATTTTTCAGCTCTTTAATTTTGTGGAGTCTGGCTGACAATAAGCGGCATGCCACATTATTCTTCTGGGAATTTATAATACTGTCAGTACTAGAATCAATCTTTTGCTTTTGTTTCTTCTTAGGTAAAATCGTAGCCCCTACATTGAGACCAGAACAAACAAACATAGTATCAGACTGGAGAAAGTAAAATATGTATAAATCTGTAAAGAATACCATACCCAGTGATTCAAAGTTAAATACAATTTCAGGAATCTCAATACAATCTTCAGGAATGAAGACCATGTCCAAGCTTCACTACATAAATATTTCAGTACAGGCATGAACAATTGTGCTCTTCCAACTGTCCTGACCTAAAACTCCCATAAGCCCTAACCAGCATAGCCAGTGATGATGGATCCTGGGAGTTAGAGACTGAAACATCAAGCGGACCTTAAATGGCATCCATGTCACACCAAAAATGTCAAAACTAGATTCCAGACAAACTGATCCTGATCCTTTTGGTATTCTGTAGCTGCTTCAGGCACCCTTTTGTTTGTCAAAATATGTTTTCTAACATTTCTTTCAGGTACACCTGAATTTTGGGGTGTGGCAGGGATTTCATGTATTCCATGGGCTTACCCTTGCTTTAAAGTAAGGCTGTATTGCATGTCTCTCAAACAAGCCTTTATTGTACCAAAAATTCACAGTTATAGAGTTACAAAGACTTATATCCACACATATTCATAAGTGTAAGAATGGTTAGCTCCAGACTTGAGGGGACACATGAGAATGTGCCTTCTTCCATCAGTCAGCTCTTCTGGTAGGCTTACCTAGTAGTGATGGGCATCAGCATTTTAATGCCAGGTCACTACCATTTTAATTTCCTTCAATGCTCCTGAGGTAGTGCTACCCTGCAGCATTATGGGACATTAAAAAGGTGGCTCTCAGATCCCTTCTGAGGGCTGACAACTGCTCAGTGGGGGAGGCTGGACAATTTTCAATTGTGAACTCCTCCAGGGTGCTGGGATCCCAAAAGCCGCCTGAAGATGCCATGCGCTGATGCTGGGCCTAGGAAGAATTCCACCTTGACATATAAAAAGTGCAGAATGTATGTGCACACTGTGATTTTAGAATTGTGATGAGGAATGAGAATTAAAAGGGTGGTTAAATTAAGGGAAAGAAAACAGAAGGAATGAATAGAAGAAGAGATTGCCTAGATAAAGGTAGGAGAAAAGCAAAATTAGTACACTGTGGAATGAGAGGAGGGGAACGATAAAGAGTAAGATACAGGTGAACTAGTATTGGCCTTGGTGGACAATAATATAATAGATGAAATATACTGTGTATCAATTTTGTTTAAAGGCATGTCAACAAAAAAAGCAAGTTTGAAACTGATTATTCATTGTGACCATACTTGTTTACCACCTTCCCAGATATGAGAGGTTTATCTGTGGGGCAAAAGAAAACAGTTAATTCCCAATTAACTCCAGACAGTGTCCAGCTGAACGTAAGTGCTAGTGTCAATTATTGCTAGCATAAGAGACCTCTAGCACAACCCTAATAACGTTAGCTGAAATGACGGGTTTTCTAAGGTCCCATCACACTGGCTAATGTTATTGACATTGAGTTAGAGAGGCGTCATGTTGGCACAACATGATTTACATTAGCATTAATGTCCAACCAGATTTTGCGCCGGCTTTTACATCAATCAAACTGGCTACATTTGGAATTTGAACTTCTTTGGGGTGAGTCTCTTAGGATTAGTACATACATATCTTCCAACCTTACTTAATAGCATTTCCAATAATGAATCACATTAAATACATATCATAAAATTAAGATAAAAGATACTGCTGCAGTATCATTTATATTAATTCATAATGCTTTTTCTGTCTCTGGTACACAAGAAAACAATAAAGCTTAAAAATAAAAGTGAGGTAAACTTATTTCCTGCACAAAGGAAGAATGTATTCCATACACAAATACTAGCAAGAAGGCTTGTCCCTCAAGGGATGGGAATGTGTATTAAAACACAGCATCAAAAAAAAGTGCTGGGTGAGTGAACAAGTGCCAGCTCCAGTTCCCAGCTAGTATCGCCCCACTGTTCTTTGGTCCCTATTCCTTCCCTCTCTCCAGCCATTTACCAGTGACACAAGAGAAAGACAGGTATGCGCTCATTATATCTGATGATTTACACAGTGTTTCAGTGCTTTTCCTTACATACAAGTGGTTTCCAAACAGCACAGTATTTTGAAGCAATTGGAAACATCAACTAGAAAAGCAGAGATGCACCATAACTGTTAGGTCTTCATCAAAGTGCAATCATAATCTTATCACCAGTGAACTAATGTAGCCCATGACCAACTGTCTTCTTACCTTTGGCTTGGTGATTGTCTCCTTTTTCCTTCTCGGGAAATTTTTCCTCTTTGGTTTCTGGCCGTTCTGAAGGACTGCTGCAGCAGCTGCTGTTGCTACTAGAGCTTTCTAGAGAGTCTGTATGAAAGTCTTCATAATAGTAGTTTTGAGAACTTCCACAATTGTTCTGTTCTGAACAAATACTGCTGCTACTGCAGCTAGCCTTCCTTGAAGTATTAGCATGAAAGTCATTGGAATAGTCAAGCTGAAAACTTCCACAATGACTGGAACATTTACTACAGTTATTAACTTTGTTGTTACTGTTGCCTTGGGTGCCCTTACAGACCCCTTTGGGAGAATCAGCTGGGCTCCTATGTTTTGTACACTCGCATTTATCATCTTCTAGTGTAAGATGAATAAAGCACTCATCTGAAGCCATCATTTCTTTGTTAGAGAATCATGGCCTGCCAAGTCAGGAGCTTTGTCACATATACTCAAAACCATGAAAAGAGAATTGTGCTTCAGCCAGAAATGAAAAGTGCTTGCTCTAAGTCTTCTCCTATGTAGTTGTTTCCGTCTTTGCACCAACAAATCTTCAGTTTGTTTCATTTATTAGATTATTTACTTGTTGAGAATGTGATGTGCTTACAAAATAAATTACGTTACATTGATAACATTGTCTTTCACAGAGTGTGATTCATGGGATGGTATACTTGAGCTTTCACTTCTCCCAAGGAATTAAGCTAAAACAAAAGTAACAATATTGACATTATGGGTTTGTGGAGTGGAAAACCTACATAGATAAGTCTTCTCACAACCTGATTGCCTTCATGAAAATACTATATAGACCAAAGGAACATATTTCTTGAACAATGAAGATGGTAAGGGTGTAAATTATTTGTTGCTATTGTAGAAGCTCACAAAGAATCAGGAGCCTGAATATTATGCATTAGCTTCAGTTTACACATTTTAAAACAAGTTTTAAAATGTCAACTTTTCAATCAACAGGTACTTCCACATGAGGCTTGCATTGTTCAATGGCCCAGTCACATTCAGAGAATTTTTACAAGGAGTCAGGACAACTTCCATTCACAGCTATCTTGTGTCTCCCCCACCCCACCCCCATCTTTTTCCTTACCACAGAATATTGGTAATGAGGAAATAACAACATAGTCATGCAGTGTATTTTGACCGGTAGTGCAAGCAGCTGTCCATCTGGAAGGAACCAAAGTGATTTTCTGTTGTTCTGCGTGTCAAAAAGGGGTTGGCAAACATGGGGACATCTGCATTTTAGAACACGATGCAATCCTATGCATCGACTTAAGCAGAAGCAAGCCCTACCGAGTTCAGGGGAGCTTACACGCTGTGACACTGATACCCGTTTTTCTGGTTTGAAGTGGGCAGGGCAAAAGAAGATGGTGACTCCCCAGAGATGCGAACACATGCAAAAGGAGGGCTCGGCAAACGGCGCCATTCCCGCCCTACTGCCCCCGGACGGAGCCCTTCTCCTGGCTCGGCATCCTCCACGTCCTCCCCGGCCGCCTCTTATCCACAGCGAGGGCCGGCGGAACTCTGCTCCCCGGTACAAATCGAAGGGTGGCGCCCCGCTAACCGTGCAGGGTTGAAACGCCCCTTCTCGGTCCTGTGTAAGAAGCGGCTCACACACGCGCGCGCACGTACACACAAGCACCCACCCTATTCGTGTTACCGGCTTCCTTTCGCTGCCCTGGCGGAAGAAGTTGTTTTCAGATCTTTGGTGCCAAGGCAACGGGAGAACGCCTTCGCTGAGCATCATGGGTCTTGTAGGACAAAGAAGAAAGAGAAGCATGGATTTAAGGATCTCTACGCCGCGGTTCTTTCACCCCATTTGTGCGTCGATTAATGGGGTTGGCTCCACGCTTTGGGAAGATACATTGAAATCAATGGAACGTCAGTTAGCTATGATTAGCAATCCCACTGATTTCAGCGGGACTACTCAAGTACGACTAGATCTGGAGCCAAGCCATTGGTTTCATATTGTGCTCTTTGTTCCTCATATAGCAACTGTGAAAAACAGGGTAGCTTAAAAAGGGCATGTCTTTCTCTGATCTTAAAAACATTCTCATCATGGACAGCTTGGTGACGATCACTCATCCCACAGGGTTGCTATAAGTACAGAATCTTCTTTCTAGTTAGAGCAAAAATGAATGACAGTATCGGATTTTGCATGTCTACTCGAAGGTAAGTCCCACTGAGTACAATTAAATTTACTTCCAGGTACGTTTGTATAGGCTTGCAGCAGCACACCAAGCAGCCTGAAGGGCCACACCAATAAGAATAGCACTGAGTGTGTGCACCTTCTCTTCTTGCCAAGCATTCCCCAGCTCAGGACTCCAAATCAACAGAGAGGAAAAAGATGGGTTTTTACATCAGTTTGTTTAGACTGCAACAGCAGGTAGTTTCTTTCTGCCATCAGGAGGCTCAAAGATATTTAAGTGGTGACACTTGTACTGCTTTCCCCTGCAGCATCTCTACAAACAGTTTCAATTAAGAAGGCTCTCTTGCATGCATGCAATGTTTGGAGAAATTCCCTCAGTTTTGTTTTAGAGTTGGGGAAAAACAGTCTATACTTCTGGGCAGCATTGGGTAACCATTCATTTTTTAAAATAAAAAAAAACCCATCAAACTTTCCATCTTTGTTTTAGACCTTTACAGTGCAGAATGGATGAAGTGCTAGAGAACTTACCATCCAAATAGACAGTCTCAACACTTGCTAGCACTGAGATACAAAAAAAGCCTGAACTCTTGGAGGGAAGCAGCAGGATCCCACCCAACACTGCATTCCATGGACCATTTCCAAAAGAGGCTGATTCACAGATGCTGTATATTCAGAGCCTAGTTGCAGGTCAGTGGGCAGGATAAACCCCACCTCAGTGCATTCGCATGTCCATTTGGACGAGCTATCTTTTTCTTTTGGACATTTGTGCACACTCCCTAAAGTCCACTACATTAATAACTGGTCAACTTAGAATGTAACCGTTAAACATTAACATGTTCTGTTGCCCATTTTGAACTTTGGGGTATTGCTTTGACCCTTTGGAATCAATGCATTTCTATGGCCATTCTCAGTCATTCATTTTGGCATGTCCTGATTTTGGATCCCACTATATATTTAAAACCCTCTTTTAAAATCTAAGATATTTGGAAGTGGAGCGCCATCGACCTAGGAATCCTGTTTCCGAATTTGTTCTTTCAAAGTACCTCCTTTCCTTTCCTTTTTTAAAAGGAAAAATAAAACTTTTATTCGATGATCTACGCAAAACTTTACAGCAGAAAATACTTATATTTTGACAAGAGCACATACAGATCATTGCTCGAGAAAAAAGCTGCCAATCATTTCGCTGCAATGAATTCTCCCTGTGCCTGTAATGAATCACATACACCCCTCCTCCACCTCCCACGTCCCTTGTACTGCCTGATTGGTGTTGCACTACAGTCCCTGGCCTTTTAAGGGCTGCCAGCCGGTCAATCTACAGTGATGAGCCCGGCGGCAGGTGCCAGTCTCCCTGCAATGGATACTTTTGCTAGCCAATCGTCCACTGGTCTGTGTGTTCCCCAAAGACCCGGGAGCCAATGAACTGGGGGAGTGCGGGAGGGACAGGCATCCCGCTGAACTGATGAGAGGTGGATATTTACTCGGGATTCTCTCCGCTCGGGAAGCTTCTGCATGCCCGGGCTACTTGCAGTTCTCGCGACCAGTTGACACGCCAGGTGTGCGAGCTCGGTTAAGGCCCTCTTGGCTGTCGTCAAAATGGTGATCAAGGTGTTCGTAGCCACTTCCTCGGGGTCTACCGCGGTACGTATTTTGCTTCCTTCTCCATGTGATTGCTGCTTTCACGGGCATAAGCGCTTCCACAAGCTTGCGACTTGTTGCTTAAGGAAGGGGCGTGGTTCAGTCCTGCTCTATGACCCCGCAGTGTGGAGGATAAAGGACATGCTCTCGTTATTTGAAACATGGAATTTATCATACATATTCTAGTCCGTTTGTAATTGGGTTCAATGCAGTCGACAAAGTGGGTTCGAGCCCACAGAAAAATCATTGCACAACATATTTGTCAAAATTTAAGGTGCCACAAGTCTTTTCAGCAAAGCCTCTTCGTAATTTTTCCACGTGATTCGGTGTGCAGTGGATTACACCAAAGGATAGAATTCTGTATACAATTACCTAGTAATAAGCTGGATTGAAAACAATGAGATTTACTTCCAAGAACACAAAGAATTGCCCTACGAACCCGTGCATTTTTTTTTACATTTGACCAAATGTATAGAAAACTTTTTTTCTGAAAATATTCCTTAATTTTGTTAGCTTTCCAAACTCATACCTGTATTTTAAGCATTTTTGGAACACTTTAAGGCCTAATCTGGTCACCCTGATGGAGAGAAGTGCCTCTTTCTTTCGATATTTATGATCATACAAGGAGTACTGCTCTTGGTGGTAATAGGGAGCGCAGCAGAAATGTAGCACATGGTATCTTAACATTCTTTTGAAAAATCCTGTATTCATAGTGTTTTCTCTGGTGAGTGCTGAATGTATTTGCTCTCGGTGATCAGAACCGTTAAGTTGTCTGCAGGAGGCAAAGGGCATGCAAAGAGAAGATCGAAAGGTAGGAACTGGGAATGAGCTGTTTCCTTTTATATCCAGTTCCCAGATGGGCTCAAATTGCAGCCCTGGCTGAGCCATCAGTCACAGTGACACTTCTAAACAAACTGGCTGCTGCTTGCACATAACTCTGTGATTGCCTCGCTAAGTGGATGACACTAAGGTAACCTCAGGAAGCTTCCAGAGCAGAAGGAAGGCAAAGGCGTAGATGGAAAACTTGCCCCTCCTCCTCCTCGCAGGCTGTGCTCTGTGTACATATACATCAGAAAGCACCACTACTGTAGACTAGTGCCATTTGTGGTTCTCAGTTCTGTATCACAGATGAGATCATTCCACTCTTTTCCATGATATAATGCTGTTCCACTCTTCTGCAACACTTACAGCCCAATCCCGTGCATTTTTACTAATAGGTAAGCCCCACTGCCTTCAATGGAGCTTGCTTCCTAATAAGGTTGTTTAGGACTGCAGCTATACCATACTGTCATCATGATCATCATCATATAGGCTGCATTCTGCACACACTGAATTGAAAATAACACATTGGATTCACTGGGAGTTAATTCTGCGTCTGCAGAATTAGTTTGCTGCCTAAAACTTCTAACTGACTAAAAAGTGTCTCTGGTTATATAATGAAATCTTTAGTATGGGTCTCAAAATTGTGGCTGACAAGACCCATCTTAAAAGAGGTGTTCCTTTTCTCACAGGATAAATCTTTCAATAGGACAATGTCTGATATGATAGACATGCATCATCTAGAAGCAAAGAAAGTATGCTTCATGGTTCAGAAATACTGTTTTAACTCAGCCACAGATTTATGCACTAAAGCAGCTAATATAGTTGCTACTGTGCTAATGGCTTTAACTCGGCCTTCCATTACGCTGGTGCAGCAGCAGGTGCTGCCTCTACAATAACTTTAGCCTTCTGCATCATCCCTGAAGCAGACCAGGCTGGTGCTTCTCTACTCATTCAGCCTCCTGCTGCAATCCCATACCTGTGTTTGCGTGTGCGTGCATGGATGCATGCATGGCCTCCATTGCTTGGCACAATCTACAGCACTCAGAGTCAATAGGAGTGCCCATCTTTGCATGAGGCATCTACATTTGAAAGTTCTTGGTAGCTAATGCTATAATCAGGAAGGGGGGAACAAGAAACATAAGTGGACATTATGATGTTTAAGGTAGCTTTTAAATATTTTAGGATGTTATTATTTCATTATGGTTTCTATTTTCTCAACTTTCTGTAAAGTGGTTTGATTCTGTGTGTGTGTGTGTGTAGTATTTCTATGCCACCTTTCTGAAAACAATCAGAGAGAGAGAGAGAGCGAGAGAGAGAGAGAAACGAAAGTCCCCTAGCTAGTATCACATATTTCTTCTGGTGACAATGCACCAGAAGAGAAATGCAGCATAGCCCAGGATAAGCAACATGGCTTATCTGTGTGCTCAGTGTGTCAGTGTGTTGATTCTGCACCATTATGAAAATGTGTTCTTTTGAGACTCCATGCAGCAACTCCATGCAAGCAACATTAGGAAGAAAGAGTTGCACATTTCTGGTCCCTTATGTGTTACCATGTTTGTTCTGAATGTGCACCTCTCCATGTCTGGAATGTGTTTTTTGTGTTCAGAGAATAAGCCTTCCAGTGATGCAAATGCTGGAGGAAGTTGGAAGTAATTTTGATGCTGGAGGGAGACTCTTCTTTCCATGGCCCAGAAATTAGAATGTATTACCAAATAGGCAGGAGCAGAGTGTGGTGAATTCTAGGGAGCTTAGCCTAAGTAGTGGACCCCTCATCAGATCCCTGGAATGGGGAAACAAAGATGAAGCTGGTTTCTTTTTTCCCTAGAAATGGCTTTTATTAATGAAGCACAGCACATCAAATTGCAAGGAGAATTACTGAAGACTGCTTTTGAAGAAGAAGCCCTCTAGAGGGGAAGAAAGGGAGTCCCAGTGAGCATTCAAATTCCCCCAGATGATTAGAACCTTAGAAGGATGAGTGGAGAGTAATGCGCTAGTTTCACCCCTCTCTCACCAGCCCCAGTGTTGGAGGGCACACATTTGCTCTGGGTACCCTGCTGTTCTTGCATTGACTCCCTGCACAATGGAGAAGATGACAGCATTTTAACCCTGTAAAATGCCATGAACGAGGCAGGAAAATGGCACGATAAGGGACTCATTCAGAAGGCAGATCGGACAGGATTGCTGCTTGTGCCAGGCCACTCTAAAGGAGTGGGCAGAAGTCAAGGAAAGGGCGAGAATGAGAACCTTGGCAAGGATTTTCAGGAATGAGAGAGAGCCATGGGTTATATGGATACCAAGGACTCTTCCCAAGACCTTCAGCTTAGGTAACCACGTGCGTTTATCACAGGAATAACCGCAGTCCCAGGAGCCAAATCCCACTCACCTGGGGTCTCAGTCCAGTCATGAAAGGTTCTCCAGATGGCTGCTCTGCCTTCCTCATCTTACCCAGTGCTCCCCTCTACATGCTCCAGCCAACTGTTGCTGGCTGACTTCCCAGCATTTGTGATGTTTCTTCCCCATTCTAAAAGCTCATGTAAGAGATGTGAAGTTAGGCTATTAGGGAGAAAAAATGTGTGCAGCCAGGTTTGTGGCACTTATTGCAAACAATTATAGTCTATATTTCACAGGCTACTGATCTGGCATAACACACACTGTGTTATTTGGCAAGCTTTCTCCTTACAAGGAGGAGTCGCGGCTCAGTGGCCTCTGTCTTCAGAAAGTCTCATGTTCAGCTCCTCAGCATTGCCAGGTAAAGCTGAGAAATGTTTGAGTGAAATCTTGAGTTAAATTGATCATGGTTCAAATCTTGGTATATAGAACTTATCTGGGAATAAATTGATCTCCAATAGAGTAATAGGAAAATAGTATTTTAAATACTTTTTAATAATCTGGCCTCCCTTCCAAATTTATGCAATCTTTCAGGACAGTTTTTACCCCTTCAACTTTATTCCAAAAGGTTTGATACAAATACCAAAAAGTGTAAAAGTAAAATGGTTATTAAAAAATTATCCATCCTATTGTTAATTCTTTCTTTCTGTGATATGGAGATTTCAGTTTCAGTTAAATGTAAATATATACCACTGAAATCCTCTGGATGTCAGTGAGGCGACACTAATGTTGCTAGTTCCATAAATCAGTGAGGTTCTTCAGCTAGTGCTATTGGCATTTACAATGTTATGTTTAAATAATTCCTGTCTAGTAATCTTTCTTCTAGTAGAATATATATACTTTTGTTTTAATTTATTTGTAAAAGGACAGCTCAGATTGCTCGCATTCTGATTTAGGTACAGTTTTAAAGTGGTTAAAAACATGCTTGTAAAATACCACCCCATTCTTTTGGTGGCCCACTAGACTAAGTCATGGATGGTTGTCCAAAAATTTGATTCTGTGCAGTGTGCCCATTTATTTGCATCCCACTGCTTCTCTTGCAAGTCCAAAGAATGTTTTAGCTTTAGATTAATCCTGGCAGGCTCTGCTAGTTCAGTCAATCTAGCCTACAAGGTAAGATGCAGAGCAGAAATTTCAACCTGGGTTGCTTATATCCATACTTTACACTCAAACCCAAAGGTGGGAGCATTTGTGGGCTCCAGGAGCTCTGTTCATCTCCCTGGAATACCTGGGGGTGAGGCCTCCCCTGCCTCTGCCATGGCACAGCAGTACCCACCTGCCCTCAGTTATTGAATACATTAATGGAGAAGGCTATCAGCAGCTACTTGTGCCAAATACTAATGATGGCATCTCAGGGAAACTGTGTGGGGCTGAACTGCAGTAGTGATCAGGGCTGAAATCCAGAAGGGCAAGACCATAAAAATGCCAATGTATTTTCGCTTTAGAGTGTAATCCCATGCATGTTTGGACAGATAAAAGTCCTAGATGGTCTGCTAGGAATTGTAGGACATTTTTCTGTCTAAACATCATAAGATGGCACCCTGAAACTCTCCTGCCAGTAAATCAGCCTTAGAAGTAGCATTTCAACATGATAGAATGGGAGAAAATTACCAAAGCCAGGGAACCACCAAATGATCTGTGATTCAGGGGCAGGAGAATAGCTTTTGGGCAGTCCTTACAGGGCAGATTAGGCCTCCAGTGCTTGCGTACTCCCGATCTAATGGATTACATCCAGTGTTAATCTATGGAACAACTCTGTGCAAATTTATTTTTGAGATCCTCATATTTTACTG